GCCCTCTTGTGGCCGTGTTGCTTTATTACACAAATTTAAAGTTTTCACTTATGATTGTATTTACATTTAATACTACAAGTAGATTTATCTGTTTTAAGGAAATGTTTTAGTTTAATAAACATATATTTTTTGACATAATGTCCATGCTTACGTGTGTCAATTCTCAATGTTCAGGTTCAGAATATAAAATAAAAAAATGACCATAGAGCACATTATTTGTCATTATTTAAATAATTCCAGATTCTGAAAACGTATGCAAACTCTTAAAAGAAACAGCTTCTTGCCTTTTTGCTGTTGATGAAAACCATCGTTAGATGTCAGTATTTTTTGGTAAAAACAGACTTTTCTGATAAATAAACCAGTAAAGGGTCAGCTGATACTATATCAGGGATTTTAACACACTACTTTCAAATTGTAATATAATAAATATATATCTCATTCTAAAATTAAAACTCTTGTGTTTGTGTCCCTCAGACTCCAGTCTTCTTGTCCTTCTTCACCGCCCTGAAAGGAATGACGAACCTGCCGGTGCCCAGCCTGCAGACAGGAGGCACTCTGTGGTTCACAGACCTGACGGCAGCAGATCCGTTCTACATTCTTCCTCTGGTCGTCACAGGAACCATGTTCTTGGTCGTGGAGGTGAGGCAGCTCTTCACATATCAGAGAAGTTTATTAAATTTTTTTATTAATCACATCAATGTGACCTTTTTTCCCCCCAGCTCGGTGCAGAGTCTGATATCGACATACCTGAAATGCAAACCATGAAGACGGTGTTTAGGATCATGCCTTTCATCATTTTACCTTTCATCATTAACTTCCCCACGGTTCGTTTATCAGCCTGTTAAACCTCAAGATGTCTCCTTCAGCTGCAGCTCAGTGTTTGAACCTGTTTCTCCTCTCAGGCCATGTTCACCTACTGGGCCACCTCCAACAGCTTCTCTCTGATTCAAGTGGCTCTGCTCAAACACCCGGCAGTCAGAAAGAAGCTGAGGATCCCCGAAAAGATCAAACACACAGAAACAGCCATGNAATAAATATGAAAGCAATTGTAATAAAATAGTTGTGAGCAAAACTTGTTCTATGGATTGATTCTACATAAACATGCAGATATTTTGACTTTTATAAGCAACTATTAATGTGACATTTGGGCTTTTTTTTCTAAAGTTGCTTGTAAATTCTGTGAGTCGCTGGTTGCAGTTTTTTTGGGCTTATTTTTGAACGTGAGTCGCTTATTTTGGGCTTGCCTTTCTTTCTCTGCTCCTGTTGAAGCAGAACACAAGGAGTAATGGGTTTGTCCCTCCCATTCCCCCGTGTCCTGGTTGTCGCTCCCGCCTGAGTTAAGTCAGTACACTTCAAACACACACACCAGAGCCCAGAGTGATGGGGAAACAAGCAAGGGTGAGGCAGTGTGGTCCAGTCCGGTTCAGAACTTATGACAGGAGACTTGATACAACGCACATGCACGTCTACTTATAAAACACAGTGGGGATTGGTGCGCTCGATTTAATGGACTGGGACATTTTACACAGGTGGTGCACAAACAAAAAATAAATGAAATACGCTGCTTACATTGGGATACAACTACAGTACAGTAAAAATATTGTTAAGTTTTAATTTGTTTGGAATTTGTTGATTAAATTGCATGAATTGAGCGAGAGAGAACAATATGAGCCAGAGCCTTTTTATTTTTTATTTTTTGTAATATCAGCAAAAACTACGTCTTCACCTCTGGATATAAGTGTCAAAACAGAGTGAGAACGAGTTGCAGTAAGTCAGGAAATTATGAGGCAAAATATAATAAAGAGTGAGGAAAAAGAGCGCACAAAGATTTTTGGGAGTTTTTGTTGACTACTGTCATTTTGCTGCAAAATGCAATTTCTTATGATCAGAGTTTAAAAGTACGTTATTAAAATAATTTAAATTATTAAAACCATTAAAGTTGTTCATTTTATGGTAATTTTTATAATTTTGCTGTTGCTTATGTATAACGCAATAATAAATGTATACGTTTATACAGTACTGTTACAATTGACCTCTATTTTACACAATGTGGGGGGTTTCCAGTTGGGCTTATTTTGGGCTTGTTTTCATAGAGCTGGTTTCTCGTTTTTGTCTCGAGATCTGGCAACACTACTTGGCCCCTCATCATTGGGGAGACCTGTGTGCCGAGGGTACCAGTGTTCTAGTTTCTGAGCATGGAGCAGGAGGATGACCTGATCTGGAGCACCAACACCAAAGTGCTTCTTAAAAAGCTCCACCGGAGGCTGTTTTTAATGAGAAACCTCAGTAAAAMKCATCTTTAGTAAAATCTGCTCTTCTACCACTGCTCCATGAGAGCGTACTTACGTACAGACTGTGTGGTCCAGCAGCTGCAGCTCCTCAGAAAGGAACGTGCTCCACAGGGTCATCAGGTCTGAGAACAATCAGCTGCTTTTGGGGGAACTGTTAGTTTGTCCAGTTCTATGGGACAGTCAGGCATTGGAGGRCATTTCAGACTTCACATGTAGGTTTATCTCCTCTATTGAAGTGTTTGTGCAGCTCTTGTGTCATGGAGTCTCCAAAAACAGATCAACTTCAGCTCAGTAGAACTCCTGGTATGTGCTCATCAGGAGCTTTTGGAGCAACWGCATCAAACTTTGCTGCCACTTTCCTGCTTCTTGTGTGTCCAGGGATTTGTTGAGGGGCTCCAGACCCACAGATACAGCCTTCTCTGTGACTTTCCTCTACATTTCCTCGAGTTCTTTTAGTGATGTGCAGCGGGCCAGCCTCTGGAAAAGCCCATCCACACTTTTGGAGGCTGCAGCAGGTCCAGCTCTTTCTTGATGTTTTCTGCTTTGACATTATTTTCCTTCACAACATCCAGAAGCACATGTTCAAGATCTTCTCTGTTTGTGGACTGGATCCTGCACACCTCAATGAAGCGCTCCTTGATTTGTATGTTGTGCACATATCTGACACACAGCTGTTGTGTGTGAAACGTGGTTTCATCAATAAGGATGGAAAACAATTCCCTCTCTGTTCTTTCTGTCTGCTCTTTTCTTTCGTCCCATAAAGATGTCATTTAATTCCAGTCAGACTTGATGAAGAACTCTGTCCGTCCATTCGTTTTCTTCCGCTTATCCAGGGTCAGGTCTCGGGGGCAGCAGCCTACGCAGAAATAATCAGACTTCTCTCTCCTCAGCCACTTGGTCCAGCTCGTCTGAGGAAATCCCAAGGTGTTCCCAAGCCAGCTGAGAAACATAGTCCCTCCAGTGTGTCCTGGTCTTCCTCTTGGTCTCCTCCCAGTGGGACGTGCCCGGAACACCTCACCAGGGAGGCGTCCAGGAGGCTTCCTCACCAGATGAAAGAGGATATTATTGATAAAATAGCCAGGAGCAGGGATCATCTGTGCTGCCTGTTTGTGTACTAGAATCARTGGTAAAAATGGGTGACTGGTTCTGTAATTGTCTTGGACATGAGTTAGAAATTAGTTTTGTTTAATGTTCATTGTTATTTAGAATAGTNTAGTTTTGTTTAATGTTCATTGTTATTTAGAATAGTTAGTTTAAAAAGGCTGATACATAAAGTATTGCAAGCGAACATAGTTTCAGTTTTCGTGACTGAGTGATTCTTGCCTGAAAGAGTAGAAGAATGGCGACAAACTCGAGGAAAGCCAAACATTCTAGCTCGACGGCTGCTAGGCCTGACGCCGCTTTGGAGCAGACTGCAGCTAGGACCGGACTTTCTGCGCCCTCCTCTCCCTCCCGCAGTGAGGTGGACGCACTCTCTTTGAAGTCTGACATTCTTGCCGCTATAAAAACCGATCTCTCAGCTGTGATCAAATCCGAAATAAAAGCGGCTTTGGCTGAAGAGTTTACTCTTATTAAAGGGGAGCTGCAGGCGGTGAGAGCAGAAGTAGCTAAAGGCACGATGCTACTGCGCACCGACCTGGACCACGTTAAACAGAGCRTTAAAGAGGTGGAGGATGGCTTGTCAAACTGGTCCGATGAGGTKGTTWMTCTGYGCACCACCGTGTTGGAACTGAAAGAAGAAGTCGATGGGCTCAAAAAGAAGTGTGACGATATGGAARGGCGCATGAGAAGGTGCAATGTGCGGATTATTGGAGTTCCTGAGACACCAGAATCCAGCTCCWCTWCAGCARTGGCTAAACTGCTAGCAGAGGTTCTACAGATGGATAAAGAGCCACTGGTGGACCGAGCCCATCGCTCTCCAGGTGGAAACAGATCAGGCGATAAGCCGCGGGTTATTGTTGCTAAGCTGCACTATTATCAAGAGTGTGTGGAAATACTGCGTCGAGCTCGGAGTCGTGGTCCTCTTCGTTTTAAAGAGTCACSGATTATCATCACATCTGACTACACGGCGGCTGTGGCCAAGGCTCGAGCGGCGTTTACGGAGGTGAGGAGGCTTCTTCGTAACCAACGAGATGTTCGCTATGGCCTGCTTTTTCCTGCACGGCTTCGCATCTCTCATGGGGAGGAAAACAAGGAATTCCTGGATGCCAATAAAGCAATGGACTACGTTAAAAAGAGGATCATCTCAGCGACGGACAACGAGGACCGGCGTTGACTGCAGGTCCAACCCTCATCGATCCTTTATGACTGTCAGGTTGTAATGAACCTTTTAACTTTATGTACCGCGCTATATCTTGATTTAATTTTAGACATTATTCTCAGGGACAACATTCCTCTTTCTGTTCTTTGTACGAGAGTTTCACAGGGGGTCTGTCCGGATCTTGGTTAGTGATTTATTTATCAGTACAGCAAGGAGCATAAACAGTAATAATACTTTAAAGTTTCACTTTTTAAATGGAATTACTGAAATAAATCTACTTTTTCATGATATTCTAATTTTATGACCAGCACCTGTATGTAGGAGAGTTTCACAGGGGGTCTGTCCGGATCTTGGTTAGTGATTTATTTATCAGTACAGCAAGGAGCATAAACAGTAATAATACTTTAAAGTAAGAAAACCTCTTTCTTTATTTTTTTGGTTATTGTTATTTAGTTGTGGCGGGAGTCCAGACAGGGAATTTAGC